TTTAAAAAAAAGAAAAAAATTACCTTGTCTATTATGTTATCTTGAATATATACAAACACATATACATACAAATGCTTATGTATGTTGAAGTTAAGTGATATGGTCCTTGATATTGAATATTGTGGCTTATTTATTTATTTTAAAGGCAGAGTTATAGAGATAGAGGGAGAGACAGAGAGAGATCTTTCATCCTCTGGTTCACTCCTCAAATGGCGCCAAGAGCTGTGGTTGGGCCAAGCTGAAGCTGGGAGCCTGGAATTCCATCTAGATCTCCCACAGGGTGGTGGGATCCAAGCACTTGGGCCATCTTCCACTCCTTTCCCAGGCACACTAGCAGGAAGCTGGATAAGAAGTGGAGCAGCTGGGACTCAAACCAGCACTCTAATGGGAGGCCAGCTTAACCTGCTGCAACATTGTGGCATGTATTTCTTAACAAATATTGTGGTTTGATGCTGGATAAAGAAGTTCAGCTTGCTGGAACCAAAGAATCCTATTTGAGCCATCTCTTAAGTCTAGGATTTTAGGCCCAAGCGAGTGGGTAGAAGCTCTACGATGAATATACCAGGAGGGCTGGAAGTCTGCTATTTCTCTGTCCCCAAGCCCTGCCCCCAGTTTCTTATAAAGCAACGGGGAAGCACCCAAACAATTAAAAAAGGAACAGGAATTCCTAACTAAAAAAAGGATGATGGCATTGGTGCCATTTCTACTTCCAGTTCTAACTGGCACCAGGAAATCTGTGTGCACCAGGATGTTTTGCACGTGGGTCAGCCTGAGTTTAAACTTGGACTGAAGTGTAGCCATCAGAATCCCCAGAGATGTCAGATAGTCATCTCAAAAATGAAAAACCAACTTCTCTCTTTCTGCTCAAAGCTTGCTCACTTTCTTGGAAAATCTACTTTACAAGGGAGGAAGCTTCAAAGAAAATCCTTTAGCTCAACCCCAGAACTTAATACCACAGAGGGGCTGGGCTTGCCCTCTGATGGTGGTTGTTACAGGTGGTCCCCAACCTACTCCACAAGTTTAAGGAGGGGAAAGGCGCCAAATGAACCTGCAGAGCTGGTGAGGAATTTTCCCAGCATCTTTCCCCTGGCTCTCCTATGTGGGCTTCCCATACAGCTCACCTCATTTTAGAAATCAGAAAACAGCCTCCTCCTGAGTATTGTTTGACTCTCCTTTGGAGACAGGGTTGGTTGTCAAGCTAAACCCTGTACTATTTCACTCTCTTTTCATTCTATCAAGTAGAAAACCCTAGGATGGCTCAGGATTATAATATCTGCAGGTCAATAGTGTGCATTTTTCTTTTCCCCAGGGGAGAGAAGCGAAAGAATGGGGTTAAAAGATTTTCTATTATAGTGTCAATTTTCAGAATGGAAGTATCTTTATCATTGTTTTCTGCTACGGAAGTAATATATGCTAACTTATCAAAAGCAGAGGTAATACACATTCTGCAACTAAAAACATGTATACTCGGGGCTGGTGCTGTGGCGCAGTGGGTTAATGCCCCGGCCTGAAGTGCTGGCATCCCAAATGGGTGCCGGTTCGAGTCCTGGCTGCTCCACTTCCCATCCAGCTCTCTGCTATGGCCTGGGAAAGCAGTAGAAGATGGTCCAAGTGCTTGTGCCCCTTCATCCACGTGGGAGATCCAGCTCCTGGCTTCAGATTGGCACAGCTCTGGCCATTGCGGCGAATTGGGGAGTGAACCATCGGATGGAAGACCTCTCTTTCTCTGCCTCTCTTTCTCTCTGTGTAATGCTGACTTTCAAATAAATAAATCTAAAAAAACAAAAACAAAAAAAATGTATACCCACAAAAATGGGATCATGTTGAATATAGCGTCTTGTTATCTGCTTCCGTACTTTTCAATGTGTTGTGAATATATCTGTCAGGGTAGGCTAGGATGTGCTGGTGTGACAAACCAATCTCAATTTCTTAAATAGCAAGCTTCTATTTCTTGCCCATACAGCTTGTCTGTTTTGGGTTGGCACGGGAGCAAATATGCACACTGCAGTCACTCGTGAATTTGGGCTTGTTGGAGCAGCTCCCACTTAAATATTGCTAATTACTGTGCCAGAGGGAGAAGAGTTGAGGAGAATCCAACATCTGCAATTTGATACTTGGCCCAGAAGTGATGGATGCTACTTAACATTCATCACTTACTGACCAGACCGAGTTACACGGCCCCACCTACCCACAAGAGGGTAAATGCTCCTGACAGAGAGCTAGAAAAATATTTGGTGCGTAACATTGAAGCCCAGGAAAATGAACATCTGTTGATATCATAAATATAGATATACGTCAGTATTTTTCTTTTTTTAAAAGATTTATTTTTGTTTATTTGAAAGGCAGAGTTACAAAGAGGAGGAGGAGGTGGAGGAGAGAGATATCTTCCATCTGTTGGTTTACTCCCCAAATGGCCTCAATGGCTGGGGCTGGGCCAGGTTGAAGCCAGGAGCCCAGAGCTTTCTTCAGGTCTCCCCTGTGGGTGCAAGGGCCAAAGCACTTGGGCCATCTCTCGATGCTTTCCCAGGTGCATTAGCAGGGAGCTGGATCGGGAGTGGAGCAACCAGGTCTTGAACCGGTGTACATGTGGAATGCCAGTGTCCCAGGCAGAGGCTTAACCTGCTATACCACAATGCCGGCCCCTGCACCATGATTTTCAACAGCTGTGTTGAAATTAATCAATGTATCATGATGTATTTAACTGAACTTTTTTCTTTAAAGATTTATGTATTCATTTGAAAGTAAGAGTTACAGAGAGAGAGGGAGAGACAGACAGATGTGCTGGTGTGACAAACTAACCTCAATTTCTTAAGTAGCAAGTTGCAGAGAGAGAGAGAGAGAGAGAGAGAGAGAGAGAGAGAATCTTCTATCCACTGGTTCACTTCCCAGATGGCTGCAGTGGCCAGTGCTGGGCCAAGCTGAAGCCAGGAGCCTGGAGCTTCATCTGGGTCTCCCACGTGAATGACAGGGTCCCAGACTCTTGGGTCATCCTCTGCTACTTTCCCAGGCCAGTAGCAAGGAGCTAGATAGGAAGTGGAGCAACTGGCACATGATCTCATGCCCACAGGCAGCAGTTTTACCCACTATGCCACAACACCAGCCTTTAACAAAACTACTTTTAAAGGATGTTCTAGGCTGTTTCCAATTATGAGCAATTGTTTGAAAACTTACAAAGAATGTTCTTGTTCATTAAATTTTTTCTACTGGTTTCCCCCACATATTTTTTTTTTGTAAGCAGAATTTATAAATTAAAAAAATATGCTTACTAGTGAGAATATAAAATGTTAATTTATTTGAAAAATAGTTTGGCAGTTTCTTAAAAAGTTCCATTTACCATATGTCATAGGAATCTCACTTCTAGGAAAACAGAAAACATATTTCCAACACAAAGGATTGCTTGTGAGAATTCATTCAGTGTTCGTTCAGGTTCTATATTATTCATTATAAACAAAAGGTGGAAGTAGCCCAAATGTCCATCAACTGTGAGTAGATAAAATATAGTACTGTATGTCCAGACAATGAAATATTATTCAGACATAGAAAGGAATGAATCACTTATACATGCTGCAACATGGACGAATCCTGAAAACATTACACTAAATGAAAAAGGCCACATGATATGAAATACTCAGAAATGGGCAAAGCCATGAGACAGAGCAGATTAGCGGTTGCCCAAGACTGCGGTCATGGGGAGACTGGGAGACGGTAGCTAAACAGTTTCAGGATTACTTCTTGGGGTAATGAAAATATTCTAAATTGATGCGGTAATGATTACACAACTCTGGATATATAGTAAACAACATTTGTGTATTTTCAATGAATGAATTTTATTGTGTGTAAATTATAGCTCATAAAACAGTTTTGAAAATATGCATAGTGTCTAAGCATAGTTTTCAAGTTTTGATCTACATTGTCAAATTGCCCTCCAAAATATAAAATGTAGTACTTGTAGCATTAACATTTTACATTTCTGTTATTTAAACAGAGATTTGTCAAGAGTAATGTTCAACAACCATTAAGACATTTGCTTTTTAATTAAAACATGTTCCTTGCCCTTTAAAGATTTTTACTAATTTGAAAGAGGGAGGGGGGGTAGAGGGGAGAGGGAAGGAAGGAGGGAGGGAGGGAGAGAAAGACAGAAAGAGAGAGAGATCTTCCATGCACCCATGCACTGGTTTACTCTCTCCAAATGCCCACAACAACCAGGGCTGGGCCAGGCTGAAGCCAGGAGCCTAGACCTCAGCCTGAGTCTCTCATATGAGTGCCATGAACTCTAGAACTAACTTGAACCCAACGTCATTACCTCCCAGGGTGCGCATTAGCAGGAAGCTGCAATTGTAAGTGGAGCTGGAACTTAAACTCAGGGACTGCAACATAGGATGCAGGCATCCCAAGAGATATCTTAGCCACTGTACCAAACACTAACCCCACTGAGAGTTTTCAAGTAATCTGGAGGGGACTGATTAATTATTAACGTGATTTTTTAAGATAAAAAGATGATTTGAGTACCTTCCCATATCCCTTTTCTGCAATAAAATAAAACAAACAATCCAGAAAAAGACACAATAAGAAAAATCAAGGTAAGTCCAATTTTGCTTGCAGAATTTTTCCTGGCATTTTTGAGTTGAATAGTGAGCCTATCAGATTAAAGCTGGATGGTTTTCCTCTTTGCAAAAGACACAATAGCAAAGGGCTTAATTTCAAGATGAAAAAGAAACTGAAATCAAATGCACATATTCCAATTATCTTTTTGTTCTTGTCATTTCATGCATTCCCCTCTAACAGACTTAAGAATTATTAGCCAAGGAGGTGATGTGGGTTCATGCATTAAGAGTCAACCAGGTCTCACTGAGATGAATTCTAACTGTGGCTGGGAACAAACTGATAGAAAGTCAGAATGACTTTTTAGGATGGGTGAATTTGAATTTATTCGTACCTCCTTATATAGCCATTTAAGGATGACTTCCCAATCATATTTCATGTCTCTTCTCTTCTCATAGGTTGGACTCAGGATCCCCAGGCAAGTGAGGCTGTTGCAAAGGCTGGTACGTATCCTCAGGGTGCAACGCAAAATTCAATTTGCTCATTCTTCTTTATTTTGAACCCAGTACCAACATTGCTTAAGGTCCTCTGAAGCTTTTCACGTTGCTTATAGAAGAATCCTATTCTGAAACTGCATGGATGATTTTTTTTAAAATAAGGATTTGTTAAGTAGTTTTTTTTATTTCTGGAAAGAGACCTGATTATTTTAGCAGGACTATAAGGACAAAACATGGAGTTTTGCAGATTAAAAAAAAAAACTTTCTAAATATAGCCTTTAAAAATGACACCATTACTCAGGAAATCAAGGTTTCACTGTGAGCTATAAACTAAAGCAAAGCACTCAGAATCCACATTTATAGATTAAAGCTTCAGATGATGGAAGTTGCAGAGGTGCTCAGTGCATGTGGAGGCTAATAGATTGGAACTTGGACAAATGTGCAGAGACTCTAAGGCTTATCTGAAACCATTTATGACAGTGTATGCTGTGAAGGAGCCGAACGTGGTGACAAGCCTTTAGGTTCTGGCGAGGCAGTTACCCAAGCCTTCCCTACCTCTGGCTGGTGTTTGAATCAATTCCAATTTCTCACCACTACTGATGTCACCATCATTACCATGTTGTTTGGACTGGGGCCCTATATTCTTTTTGTATTTTGCTTGGTTTCCTCTTCCTTCCCGTACCTCAAATCTGTTAGCCAAGCATTCATTCTTTCATGTTTTTCTCCATGTTCACACAATAGTAAACATATATGTACATACACATGTCGAGAATTGTGATGCATCTGAGATTTTTACCTTGATTTCCAGCTAGTAAGACAGTTTGTTCCCATTTCATGGATGCTGGCAGAAAGTGGGAGATTCCTGGATCAAAGACAAAGGATGACTTTTATTCACAGTAATAGCAGCAGTCAGAGTCTTGGTAGACAGAGCCATTGGTGCCATTCCCATATGGTGATGAAGAGAGGGCCAGGTGACACCTCCACATGCAATTGGTTACATTATATTAGAACAACCTGCCTGATCTTTGCCCTGGAGGGAGATATTTTCTTTATTATTTGGGATAACTTGCCCTCTGCTCCAGAGAGAGACATAACTTGACTGCAAAGGCTGTTCACAATACCAACATTCTGAAAGAGTTCAGAACAAAAGCAGCTAGAGTCTCTCCTCATAAAATGTGTAGAAATATCCGACTTATAGAGAACAGCCTCCCAAGAATGCATCTACACCTAGCAATGCTTAGGTTAATAACTGACTGCATATATGACTGTGGTCTCCAAGTTCCATCACCTAGTGACACGGTAACTATCTTAGTCATCTGCGCACATTCTGTGATGTCACACAATGATGGAATTGCCAAGAGATTGTTTTCTCTGAACGTTATTCCTACAGTTCAATAATGAAAGATTGTAAATAGGAGGATTTACAAAGTTCACGGAAGCATCGAGTGAAAGATAACAGGCATTTTCCCATGAGCTTTCTGAAGCTCTTTCATACATATCTACTCATTCATTTAGTCATTCATTCAACAATATTTTTTGACTGCCTGCTGCCTGTTCAGTCTTGTTTTAGGTATTGGAGATACAGCAATGACAAAACATATAAAAGACTTTTATCTTCCATGGAGGTTGAATTCTAAAAGGGGCAGAGACAGACATCAGAGACAGATTCTTTTTCTTTTTTTCCCCAAAGAAACCTTTTATTTAAGGAATGCAGACTTCATGCATCTCATAAGTACAACTTTAGGAATATAGTGATTCTTTCCACTATGCCCACCCTCCCACCCCTCCTCCCGCCTCCCCTCCTCCTCCCTCTTCCCTTGCTAGTCCCATCAGAGACAAACTCTTAATTGAGGAGATGACCAGTGCCACAGAGAAAAATAGAACAGCAGTGAAACATAGGGAGGGGCATCTCAGACACATTTGTGTATCTGTGATTTCTGATCATTGCTTTAAAACAGGGTGGGTATAGAAGGACAGCAAAGATTTACTGAGTGTGTGCTATGTGCCGGCCATTGTTACAAGTACTTTGTGTGTCATAACTCAGTTACTCTTATGGCAATTTTTGAGGCATTTTACAGATGATAAAACCAAGGTTAGAGAGCTTGAGTAACTCTCCCAAGATTACACAGTTGGTGACAGGTGGCAGAGTCGGGACTGAGTCCCAACAGTGCAGCTTTGCAGGCCATCCTCATCACTAATACCCCAAACAGCCACTTCTGTTATACAAATGTTTCTATTCCTTACTATTTTCTTTTTTAAAAAATATTTATTTTATTTGGAAGGCAGAGGACAGAGAGAGAGAGAGAGCGAGAAAGAGAGATTTTCCATCTGCTGGTTCACTCTCCAGATGGCCACAATGGCCAGGGCTGGACAAGGCCAAAGCCAGGAGCTTCATCCAGATATCCCACGTGGGTTCAAGGGCCTAAGCACTTGGGCCATCTTCTGCTGCTTTTCCCAGGCCGTTAGCAGGAAGCTGGATCAAAAGTGGAGCAGCCGGGACACGAACCGGCACCTGTATGTGAAGCCGACATCACAGGCTGGGACTTTACCTGCTGTGCCACAATACCGGCCCCCTTATTCCTTATTATTTTCTCCAACAATACCTTACCTGGCTCTATGCATTTAAAAAATGGTCAATAATATTTCATGTTGTGACATACCATAGTTTATTGAGTTTTCTACTATAAATGTGCTCTCATTTTGTTTCCAGTCTTATCCCTCTTTTGCAATGCTGCCAAAAACTTCAAAAAATTCTAACCTGTGGATGCTTTTCGCTCTATGACTTAGTATATAGGTGCATTTTAAATTTTGATAGATGCTGTCAGATTATTTTTTAACTACTCCTAATGCTATCTATATTACTTCAATTTCTATCAGTAATGATGAAAATGCATTTTGCTGTGATGCTATGTGCCATTAGTGTAATTACTCTTTTTGATTTGTTGTTAAATACAAAGTGATATCTCATTTCTTTAATTTGCAATTCCCTGATGACTTACAGATTTGGACATTTTAAAATATATTTGTTAGATGTGCAGAGTAGTTCTTCTATGTTCTTTTCTTAGATCCTTTGACCATCTTTCTGTTGTGCTATTTATCCCCCAATTGTCGATTTGTCAGAGATTTTTCTATGTTATAGCTACCCTCTGTCTTCTGGATTATAAAATTTTCCCACTAAAATATTTGTCTATTAACTTTATTTGCCATGTAAAAACTTCTTTTCTTTAGTTTTCATTTTTTTTAATTTGAAATGTGGAGGGAACAAAAGAGATTGAAATACATAGACAAAGATCTTTTATCTGCTTGTTCACTCACCAAATTCTCACAATAATTGGAGCTGGGCCAGGTGGGAGCCAGGAACCAGGGCCTCAATCTAGGTGTTCATGTAGTTGGTACGGACCAAAGGACTTGAGCCATCACCTGCTGCCTTCCAGGGTGCATACTGGCAGGAAGGTAGAATCAGGAGCAGAGACAGGGATCAATCAAACCTAGGCGCTGTGATATGGGATGTGGGCTTCCCAAGCCCCTGATAATCCACGGCATCAAACGCCCACTCCTGCCATATTTTAAGTTCCTAAGTCACAAAGATTTTCTTGATTCCCTGGCTTAGACTTCCTCAGAAATCTCTTTTAATTTAAAATCTCACATTTACATTTTAGCATGAACTTTATTGACAGAATGATCTTTCCAGCAGTGTACCTGGCACACCACCACTCTCTTGTGTGAATGTCTTAAGTGAGGCCCCGTCGCCTGTAGGGTAAACCCCAAGAACATGTAAGGTCCTGAGTCGTCTGGCTTCTGCTTTCCCTGGGCCTCCATTTACTCTATGAAGTCTCCTTCTGATCTGTGCTCTCGCCATTCCCCACTACTTGGAGTTCTCCAAATGTTCCATACTTCCGTGAATGAATAAAATGTGTGTGGCAACAGCTGGTCCTCTCTCTCCTTTGCCAGGATCATAGGGATTTGCTTGATTTTATTCTTAATTGATTACATACCCCTTTCATGAAGTTCCCTGGCTCACACACACACACACACAGTATTTATAGATTGAAAAGCAGGGTTATCTTTGTGTCTGAGTTTCCATGGTGCTTAACAGATACTGGCCTGGTTTTCCTGAAAGGATTCTTGGCCACTGTTTAACCTCCTGATAGCAGGCTTTTTTGGTGATAGCTTCTTCAGAGCGGATTTTTAAAATTTGTGTCCCGGATTTGTTTTAATCAGGTATGGTAAGAATCACAGGCACAGTGGTTGTCATGAAGGAAATTTATACTCACATATCTCTAGAAACAGGAGCTGCGCCATACGATGCAGGGCCACCAGGGGAAGCAGCAGGGGACAGTCAGGAGGCAGAAGGGGGCAGATGGCAAGTGTGGCTTTTCACACTTTCATTAGGGTTTTCATGGGCAGGATTGGGCAAGGAAGCGTAGGAATACTGAGTAAGCTTAAGTTTGGATAGTTTGAGTCATATTGGCAGGCTCTGGACTGTAGGAGTTGTCCTCATTGTCCAGTTTCTGGCCCTGGGATGATTTAGAGGGAGAGAGAGTTTGATAAGAGGAGGTGGCTGGCGGTGTAGTTTGTAAGATGAGATGGCTGGGGTATGGGCTTTTGAGTGTTTAGTTTGTACTTAAAGGCATGCTCACTGGGGAGTTGTCTGCCACTTCTAGGAGTGAACTAGCTCTACAACAGGCAGTCCTTCCTGGGTCAAAGCACCAAATACCAGAGCATCAAGAACATGAGAAACATGGTCAGTACAGTGGACAGCATGACCCTGGGCTTTGTCACCTGTCAGAGTGCTAGTTGCATATGTATCTAACTCCCTAGACCCAATTCTAACCACCATGGTGTGTCCTTTTCAGATGTGTAGAGTGGATTTGTTTCTACATAAAGATGATAATCGCATTTTATATTTCTTTTCCTCAAAATATCATGAAATATTCCTAAGGAGAAGGTATTGTCATAAAAAGTTGATTGAGAGTTTTTTCCATCTTCTGTCTATAGAGCAGTGA